ATTCTTCCTCTTTGTTTCAAATCTTCACATTCCAATCACCTGCAATTATCAATACATCTTGATGGCATGTTTGATCAATTTCAGACTGAAGAAGCTGGTAGAATTCTTCAGATTCATCATCAGTAGATTTAGTGTTTGGTGCATAAATTTGAATAATAATGATATTAATTGGTCTTCTTGTAGACGTATGGATATTATCCTATCATAGACAGCGATGTACTTCAAGACAGATCTTGATATGTTCTTCATGATGAAGCATGCAACATCATGCCTCTTGAATTTTTTAACCTTCCATAGCAAACCATATAATTGTCAGATTCGAAATAGTCAAGCCAGTCCATTTCAGCTCAGCAATGCCTAGAATCTCAATCCATGTGATGTTTTGTTTAATTCTTGACAACTCCCAGTTCTCTTAGATTTACAGTTATACATTCTACGTTCTGAGTATTGATGGATGTTTGCAGCTGTTTCTCCTCATTTTGAGTTGTGCACCATTAGCACATGAAGGTCCCGAGGGTTTTACTCGATTCGCGTCATCACCGTCAACTCTAGTTTGAGAAGGCAGCACCTCCCCAGTCAGATTCCACCCTGAGCCTCGTCTTCCGGCGCTGTATCTGGCAATATTCTGGTGTTCTTCATAAAGTTTTCATCTTCTGGTACTATACCAAACAATGTTCAATACTATTCGTAAAGTTTTCAGTGACTAAACATTCAGAGGTTGTCTGTCTCTCCCCCTTCCTAGTCTGTCTTCATCTGTGGGTGAGCCTGCTGGTATTTCCAACACCGGTGGCATAGTATCCAGAATCACAGCAACACAGAAGCCACCACACAGGAGAGTCTCAGCCAACAGCAGTGGGCTTAGGTTTGGGGTTCTGGGTGTATCTCACTGGGGAGAGTGATGATCATTCCTGTACTTGAAATGGCACTCCGGTTGCTTAAAACAGGAGATCCCCGGGGGCAGGGCAGGCCAGAGAACCTGCCCCCACTCCAGGCAATGGCGGGTGTATTGGGATATCGGGGTGTCTGGTGAGCACAGCACAAAAGGAACTGCTGGTGAGTTTGAACCTTTGACCTTGTGGTTAGCAGCCCAGTGCTGACCAGACAGCACCACACCAGGGCTCCACCATAAAGACATACATCCTACAGACATTATGGGGCATTTGTCCTTGGGCCTTCAGCTGATCAGAAGGTTGGCGGTTCAAATCCACCAGCCACTTATTGGAAACCTGAGAGTCGGAACTGACTCGAAAGCACTTAACAAAAATTGAAACCCCCTCTGGGTTTCTGTCACAGGGATCAGATACCCAGTGGATGGTCCCAACAACAGAGAAGATTGTTCTTGTGGTTGTGGGGTGCCCCAGAAGGGTGTGGGGAAAAGAAACCCACACACAGAGTTAGCCACACACAGAGTGCCTTTGGGGTTGTTTGTACCCTGAATCACAGAGTGAAATAATTTCCTGGAATATTGGGTCTGGGGAAGACAACTTGCTGAAAATCCAGAATTCTACGAGCAAACTCCCTTTTTAAAAGTGTAATTTAGTACATCAAGCACATCAACAGGCAGTCATGGGGATGGCGTAGTTCCCGGCAGTGTGGGACATGTTGGACATGACGTGACCCTAACTTGGAGCCCACTGGATGGATGCAAACAACAAAAGAATCGTGGTAATGTCTGTTTTACTGATGAAATGTTGTCATGTCTGAGCTTGGGGGCAGTGCGTGTGAGATAATAGTGTCGGGGTGATAGGTAGCAGAGGATGAGGGTGTACGACCTGAAGAACGGAAGCAATGTCATGGAATTGGGCACAAAGAAACAGTTGGATCAGCGTATATTTGGCGGCGCTGTAGGATACACATCGGACATCAAGGTCAGTTTGAACCATAAGCCACTCCTCAGGAACCCTATACAGGTTGTTATGCGTCAAAACTGACTCAAGGGCTCTTAACAAGTTACAACAATATAACTTTTTTTGTTTTAATTATATGATGGCTGGTTCTAAAGAAAATGTCTGGGATACAGAGGAGAAAGGAGACGTGGGGTACAAAGGAGAGTTTGGGTGCACGTGTACAAGCTTCATACATAATCACATACAGAATCCTTCCTGAAAATGACACCAACTCCCCCAAACCACCAATAATGCCACAGACAGAATCCCCTTTGAACAGGGTGCTAGCCTGGCAAACACATGGTCCCCTGCAGAAATCCCGAGAGCCCCTCCCCTGCCCGTGTGTGCCCAGGGCCACCGTCTCTGGGAGCCCAGTGAAGGTTCACAAGCCACTTGCATGGCCTGAACAAGCTGACAGGTACCTGAGCCTTGTTATAAAACATCTTATAGCCCTGTTCTGGAAGCCTGAGAAGGTACAAAGCCGAAAAGGCTTCCTCATAAAGGCGCCGACAGGCATGTTTACAAAGGCCTTCTGACAGGCCACCTCGAGGGACAGAGGATCCCGTCATGAAACAGGAGGAGTTCCAAGGCCACACCCCGACGGCAGCAGCTGCCTGGACACGCCACCTAGCTCAGCTTCCCGCTCTGAGGCCCGCCAGTGTGTAGGTTCCTGCCCCTCTGGTCTTGAGGCTCCATCTGTGGCTCTGTCCAGCTCCCCGCAGCCATCCCTGAAGGCCTCTGGGTGTGATGCTCCTCTTTAGCACAGGGATGTTCCGCCGGGAGACCGTCTAGGACTGTGCTCTGTGGAAGTTTCCAGAATGTGGCTAATGGCACTGATTTACAGAGACTGGGTGAGGTGTGGCGCTGTGGGACCAGCGCTGCACTTGGAACCACGGGGTGGTCGTGGAAACCCTATACCGTGGAAACCCTTTACCCGGTCTCTATGAATCGGAACAGACTCCATGGCACTTAACAAGAACAACAATGATGCCAGAACCACAGTAGGTGGGTCATTTTAACAGACACCATCTTATCCCCTCACAGTTTAGGAGACGACAAGTCTGAATTCACATTGCAGTACCCAGGTCCACAGGGCAGCCTCCACTGCCAGCTCCTCTGTCTTGGTGCCATTGGTTCCCTCCTTGTCTGCTCACCTCTCTCTCCTTTTGCTGTCATTGTTAAGGGCCGTCGAGTTGGTTCTGACTCATAGCGACCCTGTGTAGGATTTCCCGGGAGCTGCTGGTAGATTTGAACCTTGTGGTTCACAGTCCAGGGCTGACCCTACAACACCACACCAGGAGTCCTTGTATTTCTTGTAAAATAAAAGGTGTTGCATTCCCTGGGAACTCCTCTCACAGCAGACAGGGGCTGTCATGGGATTAATGAGGTTGCAACCCGTCTTTCATTCTTTTATTGGTTTATCTCATCAGATCACACCATGGGCAGTCACATGACTGCCACATTACATCATCACATGACTGCCAAAGCACCGAGAATCTCGACCCAGCCAGGCTGACACATGTTTCTGGGGGACACAGTCTAACCAGTGACATCCTCTCACCCTGGTTGGCCCTTCACCCCTCTCCGTCTACTGCCCTTTACACAAGGGCACTGGAGGACTGTGTCCCATGGGGACGGGGCTCCACCTCAGGGACCCTTTGGGGGAAACAGCCATCACTCAGATTCTGGGAGTTGAGTAACAGAGGCCTCAGCAGGCATGGCTGGGGTGGGAAAGGAGAGAGCTCCCTGGCATGGCTGGGGTGGGAAA